AAATTGAATTGAAAATATTGAAATTGAATTGAAAATATTGAAATTGAAATAAAAATCTGGGGCTGTGGAGTTAGAAAGAAATGAGCTCATCAGACGTCCGTAGCCCGCTCTGCATCTGTGCTTGAGGCTAGTGGCTCTAGGCTACATTAGCTGCTGCTAGCATAGCACATACCAATCTGTTGAGAGGAATGTGTGTGTGGAATTAAGGTCTACCTTTCAGTTCTCTGTTTTGGAAAAACTATTAAACACTTACATAACTTCTAATTCCTACTACATACCAGCTCTATGGAAGCCCTGAGAGGCAAGTGAAAAAAACATCCTGGTGATCCATTTTCTAAGTCTGAACTCAATTGTTTTCTCTCCTGTGTATGACTTCAGAACAAGTGAAAAACGTTTTAGGATAATCAAACTTGAAAATGATGAAAAGGCTTTGTCAGGTGAAAAAAATGATGTAATACTCATTTTGGCCACAAGAAGTGTGCACCACTACTCTATGGTCTAAATAGGACTGAACACATTCAAATCTTCTTTCAGGTGAGTTTAAAAAGAATTTTAAAATGTAGGAAAATGATCCTGGCAATTTCTTTTCACCCTTTAAGTCAAAGAAGAAAGAAAATAATTTAGATCAGACTTGATCACAGCAGTTTCACACAATGATGCATATTTAGCTTCAGACAAGCTCCAATAAAACAAACACAGCAGTACCAGTTGAAAATGCTTTAATCCCCTCATATAGCCACCCACACATGATCAAATACAGATGATAGATTAGTAGAAGTAGGCACAAACTGAGCTGTCAGTTCTCTGGGTAGAAGTAGGCACACAGTATACCTGGAGAGTAACCCCGTGGTGTAGGATGATGTAACTTCGAGTGCTCATACAGCAGCCGTTCTTCATCCGTTCTCCACATTATTGTAGTAATAATTGCAGCTGAAATGAATTTCCATTTACCAAATAAAGTACAATTTCAAACAATGCACCTTCCAATGTCAACACAAGAGGTCTAAAAATCGAAGCAAGAAACCTAATGTTAGGAGTCTTTCTATGATAAACATCTCTTTCACTGAAATCATCAATCTAGGTATGTTCCAAAATATTGTTTTCCAGGAAGGGCAGAGGAAGCCTCCCACATAAGTAAACTTGGAGATTTTTTCCCTTTGTTAACCCTTCCATCCCTCCCAGTTTCTTTGACCCCGCCCACCCTGTACTGCCGGGGTCGGTGTTCAGCTGCTGACGACGCGTCCTGCCCAGGTCTCGTGTTTGGTTCCCGGGTTGAGGTGGGTTATGGTGACCTCCACCGCCTGGACCTTCTCGTGTTTGGGAGGGATGGAGCAGATTTTGTAGCTCACCTCGTCGCCTTCCACTGGCACGTACTCGCCCTCAATGCTGGAGGAGGAAGACAGAAAGAAAGATACATAGATAGAGAGAGAGATAGAGAGATAGAGAGATACTTTATTGTCCAGGAAATGTGTTGCCACAGTCCATACATAATCATCATCATTATTAATAACTTCAACCTTCAGACTGTCTTTGTCTTATTGTATGTATGTCTATTGACTGTAATGCCACAAATGCCACCAATGCACCGTGAATGTGAATGTCACAAGTTCTTATTCAACCAGGACAGTGAGATCTGCATTTGTATTTATCTCTTATCCAACATCATAGCCCTCAGTTTATGTTGACAACACTGCTATCTAGTGGTTGGTAAAATATGATGATACAATATTTTCTTCGACCCATTTTTTTCTTTCAGGGTGAAAAGAATCACTGCAATGCCAGCACAGATGGAAAAACTATGGAAACAGTTGTATTTTCTAGTCAATAGTAGCAATGAAAGTCAAAGCAGCTGAGCTTTGGAAAATCTGTACAGAGCTTCTTTTTGGCCAGTTGGAGAGGAACACGGATGTAAACAGGCTCTTGAAGGAAGCAAGAGAGACTTGTGAACTATTTTATTGTGTCCTGTCTTACAGTGTACATTGTGCTGCTGTGTTTCATGGATTTGTATGTGTGTGTGTGTGTGTGTGTGTGTGTGTGTATACGCTGCTGACGTCTATGCGTTTTAAGCCTGTGGGTGATAACAAAAGGCACCTCGGTGAAGGTCATCAGATACTCTGCTGTCCTCCTACACACACCTGCAGCTCCTGCCATTCCTGTGTGTGTGTGTGTGCGTGTGTGTGTCCCTGTACTCCTACACACACTCAGAGTTAGCTTGATGTCAGTAATTAAAAAAAAAAAAAAACCAAAGCAGCACTCTGGCTTTTCTCATCAGAGACAATGAGGAAAAACACACTCATCCTCAGTCTCACAGAACCACTGTGTG